AAAAAAAGCCAGTTTGAATCATTTTATTCTTTTGATAATAAACTGAATAACCAAACAGGATTTTGTATTTGAGATCTGACCTGTTGTCAAAAACAAATAAACACCAAAATTACGATACTCAGAACTGACTGCCACAGGATCTCCCTCAACCCTGCCACAGGGTCATATTTGTTAAAACTTTAAAAAAAAAAATTACCAGTTAAAAATGCTTTAGTCCTTGGAGTAAGATGTTGCATATTTTGCCTTTATTTTTCCCCCTCCGGCGATAACGCTTAGGCCCCTCACCAAACTCTCAGTAACCATGGTAACTGTATACAAACCCATGCTGGCGATGGTGGTGAATGGTAAGTGGTGACAAGTCCATCAGCCGTTTCACGTATTTAGTGCTGATATCTCTCTATACATATCTCTATATACCACGTGAATTTTTTTGACTTGTTGTATTAAGTTTTCTTGATGCTCTATTTTTTTGGATATTGGTACGCCTGTAACTGAGTGTACGTTCTAAGCTAGCCCGGGAGGCAATGACTGGATTGAGACATGACCGGTGCACATCTTACTCAGATTGTTAACTCCATATCGTGTTAAACAATGCACCCTCTCTTTACCCTTTCGTTAGCTGTGACTTTAAAGCTTGAATGATCCTCTTAATTCTTGCGATGTGAAAGGCTCCTGTTTCTAGTGTTGAATGCTAGATGTTGCTTCCCCATGCCCCATGGTTCTTCCCTCCTAAACGGTTGCACATGGCTACAACTTGTTCGTCCATTTTCTGACCTTTCTGTTCCCTCGTACCTTGTGTCTTCCCTCTTTCTCTCCACTGCATGTTCCTTCATATGAACTTTATTTTCTGTTGATAAAACTATTTATTGTTTCTGTGTTACCATGGAGACACGCATGCTTTTTAAATCTTCAACTCTGCAGTACCTTTTAATTTGCTTTTCCTGTCTCTTTATTAAACGTTTCAATGATATGACATTGCTTTATTGAAATGATTTGTAAGTTTAAATGGTGATGAAGTAAATGTAATTTTTAAAATGTATGATTTTTGTTATGCATCTACTGCCTTTTATAAATTAAAATGCATTTTAGTTTTTGTTGTTATTTTAAAAAAAAATGAAGTAATCGCAGTCATAATGCATGCAACTAATTGTATTGTGGACTGGGCCTGGTACTTGTGCTCACTTGAGTTTTCTGTGTACGTAGGTTAATAATGCCACAGCACGTGTAATGACAAATAAAAAGACCGTCAACCCTTATACAAATGGTAAGTAGACATCGATTTAGCATAGAAGTCCTGTTTCCATCTGAATCTGTTTAGTGACTTAACAGAGAACTTCCCCATGGTCACCAGGTCTTTGCTGTTGACCTGCTCAGTGAACCACCTGAGGAAGATAATGTTTTACAACAAAAGCAAATGTAGTTCTTCAGGTTAAGTTTGCATGCCCTTCTTCTCGTTTCTGCAGAGTAACTCCAATTTGGGGTTGATATATGAAAGTTATCTGAGAATTAAGTGGGTAATTTAAGTTGTCACAATGGTAAGTTGAAAAGGAACCCTGGTGGCACAATTGCTAAGCTCTTGACTGCTAAGCCAAAGGCCAATGTTTCAAACCCACTGGCTGCTCTGCAGGAGAAAAGAGCTAGTGATCTGTTCCTGTAAGGATGACAACCTAGACAGCCCTATGGGTCAGTTCCACTCTACCTCCAGGGTCACTGTGGATTGGAATTGACTCCGCACACCCAACAACAAGGGTGGTAAGTTGAGCGAGGGAGTGGCAGCGTAGAAGTTTTCTTTCTGTCTTTCTTTGCCACTTCCCCTTCCTTGATCACCAACCTGCCTGGAAGTGGGACCACAGAATTTGGTTCTGCTTGTGTGTCTGCTCAGAAGCCGTTTTGCTTTTGAAGTGACTTAGAGGCTGTCTTCTGATCCAGTTCTGCAGGAAGAGCAGGACACAGGAGGGAGTTATCTGCTGCTCTCTGGGCCATGCCTTGAAGGAAGCCCTGGTGGAGCAGTGGTTAAGTGCTTGACTGCCAACCAGAAGGCCTGCAGTTCAAACCCACTAGCCACCTATGGGATAAAGATGCCACAGTCTGCTTCCGTAAAGATTTACAGCCATGGAAGCTCAATGGGACAGTTCTCTTCTGTCCTTCACGGTCATTATAAGTAGGAATCAATGATGGCAGTTGCTTGGTTGGGTCATGCGTTGTCATGTAAGACCAGGTAAGGTTGTTGCAGTGTATTGCACACTCCTTCAGGACAACATATTTCTGCCCTTTGCAACCAAGATAATGATGCAGAACTTCACCCAAGAACATTTGTCACGTACATAAGGAGAGTCGTTAAAAATGTGCAGACATTTTGACTCATTCTGTCCTCTCAGGATGAATCTCTCTTTCAGCTATAGAAAAATAATCTTCTGAGTGTTTCTCACATACTGAATTACCGAATTGTGCCACAAATTAGAAAAAAAGGTAATTAAGTAACTTGAAGTATATAGTAATGCATCTATTATATAAATACAAATTAAAATTTTATTTATACAATTATAAATTAAATTAAAATATAAATTATATACTTTCTTGTGTAGCAATTAAATCAAAGTATATAAATACTCCACTTAATAGAATATTATGTCCATCAAGATGAAGATAATGAGGGCCCTCATAATTAATGAAAAATTAAAAATAAAAAAAGTATACATATATGTTTAGTATGAATTCAACAAATAATGGCAGGAATTACACCAAAATATTAATGGTAGACTTGAGATGTGAGACTGGAAAAAATATTTTTCTTTTTTTTTACATGTTTTTGAAAATAATATTTCATTACTGTCATGAGGTTAAAATATATGGAATTGTTCATTTTTAAAGTTTAGTTGCACAGGACATATGGAAACACAGTTTCATTGACAAAAAGAAAGAGATGTTAAATATAAGGCTGAGATATATTTTGGATAACTCCACCTCCAGCCGTGTTCCCTGTCTCTCTCCTCAGAGGAAATCATTATTACACCGTGTTGTTTTTACTTTTGTTTTGCATTTTAGATTTATTTTACATTATCTCAGTAATACAGTGCATATTACAGTATTCAAAGCATTATATATATATGTATATATATTTATATATATATATATGGTTTTCGATATAAGTGGTATCATTGTGTACATTTCATTATTTTCTTGGCTTCTGTAAATCAATATAGAGTTCTTTCTATATTAATACCTGCTGATCAAATGCATGATTTTAGTGGTTACATGAAAATACCGTAAAATGGATATATGGGTTTATTCAGACCTTTCTTACTGTTTGATATTTAAATTATGATTTTTTTTTTTTTCTGTTATAAAGAATACTATCAGCATTTGGTAGTTCTTGTTTGGTTTTTATCTGCCAGTGGCTACCAATTAGATAAAGTCATTTTGCTTTTAATTTTTAAAAGGGTCACTGTTAAACAGAGGTATGCCCCCAATGTATTAGGGCTCCCAGTTGTGAGACTAGAGAATGATTTATCCTGCAGACCCTTTTCCCAGCCCCACAACTCAAGACATACCCTTAAATGCATTAAATGCCAGTGACAGTGTTCACACACTGAATGCCTGGTACTGAAAGGAAGCAAACCTGTGACTTACATGTCCTGAGGCTCCCCAACTTTGGTGAAAACTAATAGTTCTGCGACTTACCAAAGTTTCTCTGTGATGACATCAACTTGACTCCTGGGCATTTTCTTTACAGAGTAGCAATGATATACGTGTGTGCAATGAAGTAGCAGTAAGTGTGTGTAATGAAGTAGCAGTAATGTGTGTGTGTGTCCATTCTGTCTTACACCTATCACCTTTGAATGTTAGTTCTGAGAATACGTTTTCTTCTTGTGTGTGTGTGCAAGTGTGTACATATGCACCTGTGTGCTTGCATGCAGATGTTTAGTTTCATATGTGTGTTATGTGGGTGAGAAAAATGAAGCGAAGAAAGCCAAACATCATTCCTGAAGCTATGTGCATGAATATTTATTTTAAAGAAAGGGTTATTGATCAATGACATGTCCAGGGACTGAAATCTAGACATGGAGGATTTTTTGACCCAATCCAAAGCCCATCGACTTTTCCCCATCAACTCTAACACAATATAACTAACTAAAAGTAGATGGGGCCCTCTCAGGTCCTTAATAAGAGTGGTTATATTAAGAGAGGATCTGCCAGGACCAATAAAGTCCTATTGAAATGAAACATTTAAGCTATTAGTTAGGTTGACTCATCAGCTGCCTAATTCATTCACAAACCATCGAATTTATGCTTCGTCAAAGTTATAAATTACTTGAGTCATCAACTATTGAGGTCATCTTCCAATGATAAAGCATGACTGTCAATGCCAGTGTCACATACCTGCATGCCATCAGTCAGGTGTCCGATAACATTGTTAGCAGTTGCAAAGGTTAGAGTGATGAATAACGCTGGACCCTAAATGCCGTGGAATAGCTATCTAGGAGGCTGTGCTATGGAAGATCATGGTTTATACCATTGTGAAGGAGTCCCAGGATACTTGAACTTGGTTCTAAGATAATGAGATATAAGCAGGATGAGATACAGACAGTAGGGTGAGATATAAACACAAAAACTTACTACCATCAAGTCAATTTCAACTCATAGTGACCACCAATGGGTTTCCAAGGCAGTAAATCTTTACAGAAGTAGATTGCCCCATCTTCCTTCTGTGGAGTGGCTGGTGAGGCTGAACCACCAAACTTCTCGTTAGCAGTCAAATGGCTTAGGCACTACAGCACCAGAGCTCCTTAAAATGAGATACAGGGGTCTGGAAACTCTACCTGTAAGGAAGCTTAAAATCAAACAAACCTGTTCCTTCAAATCTTTTCTGACTCAGGGTGACCCCAGGGGTTGCAGAGTGAAACTGGGCTGCAAAGAGTTTCCTTGGTTCTGGTCTTCATGGGAGCAGATCACCAGGCCTTTCCTCCACATGCTACTGGTCAGTTTGAACCACCAACCTTTCAGCAAGCAGCCGAGTGCAAACCATTGTGCCACCCAGGGAGCTATCAGGAAGGAGGAAGGAGGACCCTGAGAGAGGGGACCAGGCTGTTTATCCACCGCTGATTATTCCCAAAGGCCTGTGCTCTCACAGAATTAGAGCTCACTGGGCTCCTTAGATGAGAGCAGGAGCCTCAGAAATTTCCTGGGACCAAGGCAAGCCTGGCTGTGAGGTCCGGGTGTTTAATTTCTGAGGAAGGACAGGCACTGAGGAAGAGTCCGAAGTTTGCAGAGTGGAGCAGACTTTGGCGTCAGTAGCAGCTCAGCCATTCCTTGGTTGCTTAACTGTCATTAAGATGCTTAAACACTCTACGAAATGGTATTCTCAAGTAGGACAACTACCAAAAAAAAAAAATTTGCTGTTGAGCCAGTGTAGACTCGTGTCAGGGTAGAATTGTGCTTTATGGCGTTTACAAGGGCTGATTTTTCATAAGTCGGTCACAGGTCCTTTTTTTCCAAGGCACCTCTGGGTGGACTCTAACCTTCAACCTTCCAGTTTGTAACCCAGTGTGTTAACCGTTCACAACACCAGGACTCCTCGCAAGTGGAGACCGTAGGTCTCATGAGACCTCCTCCATAGGGTATTTGTGACATTGTTGTTGTTATTGTTATGTGCCGTTGAGTCAGACCCGACTCATAGTGACCCCTCCTTGGGTTTCCGAGGCAGTATCACTATGGAAGTAGATTCCCCAACCTTCCTTCCGAGGAGTGGCTGGTGGGTTTGAACTGCCAGCCCTCTGGTTAGCAGTCAAGTGCCTTAGACACTATGCTACCAGAGCTTCTTTTGTGACAATTGTGGGATATAAAATACTCAGCACAATGCTGAGTGTACAAAGCACCCTAAAAAACTCACTATGGTTAGTGTTATTGTTGGGGATTTGACTCATAGCAACCACATAATACAGAGTACAGCTGCTTGGCTATAATCTTTGCAGAAACAGATCACCAAGTCTTGATCCTGCAGCCCTTGGCTGGGTTTGAACGGCCAACTCTTTGGTTAGCAATCAAAGGACCTTTTAACTGTTGCATCATCAGGACTTCTTGCTAATAGTATGATAGTATTTGATTGGAAGCTCCTGGGTGGTACCAATGGGTGACATGCTTAGCTGCTAACCAGAAGGTTGGAGGTTCAAGTTGACCCAGAGGACCCTGTAAAGAAGTCCCTCCTAATCTACTTCCAAACTATCAGCCACAGAAAATGCTATGAAGCACCCTTCTACTCTGACA